CGCTCGCCCCATGGCCCATGCTGGCAGCACAGCCAAGCTCAGCTGGCACAGCTCGGGCTCCTCACAGCCAGCGGCTCCCTGGGCTCACTCACCCTGCTCTCCCCTCCTGCCCTTTCTCTCTCCTGCCTCTACCACCTCTCTGTTTGCTCTCATGGCTCCTCGGGATGGGGCCACACTCTTCCCTTCGAGGAAGGGAGCCACACTTCCCCAGGACCTGGGAAAAGGGAAAAGTGCAGGTGCTGCTGAGGCGGGGGCTTTCCAGTCCCATTCCAGCTTTTCCAGCTGCTCTGGCCCCTCTGTCGGTGGGAGAAGTCAGGCAGGGAAAGGCAGGGTGTAAAATGCTGCTGCTCCATCTGAAAGCAGCATTGCGCAGCTCCCGGGGCAGGAGAGCTCCCCGGCACTGCGGGGGGAAGGATTTGGGGGTGTTCCCCTCACAGTGGTGCTTGAGAACGATCCTTTCCTTCCCTCAGGAGTGCCGGAGCTGCAGCTCCCCTCGGCTCCCGCGCCGAGGGGCGGCTTGCTTTACAAAGCTTTTCTCTTCCCCTCGTGCTGGAAATTTGACTCTACAAAAACACTTCCACAGCAGCTAATTGCCAGCCCTGCAGTGACTGAGCTCTCTAATTCCTGCCAGTCAATGAACCAGCCCAAAGAGCTGCTTTTCACAACTTGCTGAATGTACGAACACAGCCCTAGAGACATGACACAGCTGGTATTTTTTTTTTCCTGAACATCTTCTGGATCCTTCTCAATTTTGAAAATTACTTTCTCTCCATTGGGTAGAAGGAACACCCAAAGACAGATGTGGCAACAAGGCCTGTTCCAGGGAGACACTGAGGAGACCTGGACCCACAGAGGCCCTGGAGTCTAGCGGGGGTGCCAGGGAAGAGATGATTGTCAGGAAATTGGTTTGGAGGTAAAGCTGGCGTCGTCCAGCCTGTCTCTTCATGATTTGAGGGCTCATCATCATCTTTTCATGGATTCCTACTGCCCAGCAATGTCCACGCCTTGCAAAGTGTTCCTTGATCTCCTGGTTTGTATCCAGAGGCCTGATGCAAAAATTGTTCTGTTGGTCAATGGTTTAGACCACATCATTCCTCCCTTCCCTCCTCCCTGGCAGCCTCCTTTCCCCGCCCCAGTTGCGGAGCGCTCACCTTCCCTCTGCCAGCCCCTCATTCCCGCCTCTCCTCCACACGGGCCGTGTTCATCGCCCGCTACAGGCCCCTTCATGCTCCGCCGGCCTGCCCCACACCCGGCAGGAGCAGCTCCGAGCCTTGGCAAAGCCTGCCCCGGGAGCTCTGCTTTGTGTCCCCCTGCACGGAGCCGCCGGCCCGCGCTCCCGGGGCAAGCGTGGAGCGGGGGATCGTTCTGTTCCCGCAGGTAGTGCAAGAGGAAACGGCCTCAAGGCTGTGCCGGGAATGTTCTCCCTGGCATCAGGGACAAATGTCTGCTCTGGAAGGGCTGCCAGCCCCGGCACGGGCAGCGCTGGGGTGCTCCGGAGCCGCGCGGTGCGGCATGGGAGGCACAGCGGGCACTGTGCCCTGCGCCCGGGCGCGGCCGGTGATTCAGTGTTTCGGTGATCGATCCCGTAACTGATGCTGTGATCAGTTCCATGATTGATCCTGTATGGATTCCATCATTGATCCTGTGATCAATCCCGTTATCAGTTCTGTGGTTGATACCGTGACTGGTTCCATGATCAATCCCATGATTGAGCCAGTGAACGGCTCCTGTGGTCAATCTGGTGCCCGGTTCCATGATCGATCCCGTGACCAGTTCCACGATCAATCCCATGACCGGTTCCATTATTGATCCCATAATCAATCCCGTGACTGGTTCCATTATTGATCCCGTGATTGGTTCCATGATGGATCCCGTGATCGGTTCCATTATTGATCCCGTGATCGATCCTGTGCCCGGTTCCGTCATCGATCCCGTGATCGATCCCATGATTGGTTCCGTTATTGATCCTGTGATCGATCCCGTGCCTGGTTCCGTTGTTGATCCCATGGTCCATCCCGTGCCCGGTTCCGTTATTGATCCTGTGGTCCATCCTGTGCCCAGTTCCGTTATTGATCCTGTGGTCCATCCTGTGCCCAGTTCCGTTATTGATCCTGTGGTCCATCCCGTGACTGGTTCCATGATCAATCCCATGATTGAGCCAGTGAACGGCTCCTGTGGTCAATCTGGTGCCCGGTTCCATGATCGATCCCGTGACCAGTTCCACGATCAATCCCATGAGCCAGTGACCGGCTCCTGTGGTCAATCTGGTGCCCAGTTCCATGATCGATCCTGTGACCAGTTCCATGACTGATCCCATGATCACTCCTGTGACTGGTTCCATGATCGATCCCATGACCAGTTCCACGATCAATCCCATGACCGGTTCCATTATTGATCCCATAATCAATCCCGTGACTGGTTCCATTATTGATCCTGTGATTGGTTCCATGATGGATCCCACGATCGGTTCCATTATTGATCCTGTGGTCCATCCCGTGCCCGGTTCCGTTATTGATCCTGTGATCGATCCCGTGCCTGGTTCTGTTATTGATCCTGTGATCGATCCCGTGCCTGGTTCTGTTATTGATCCTGTGATCGATCCCGTGCCTGGTTCTGTTATTGATCCTGTGATCGATCCCGTGCCTGGTTCTGTTATTGATCCTGTGGTCCATCCCGTGCCCGGTTCCGTTATTGATCCCGTGGTCCATCCCGTGCCCGGTTCCATTGTTGATCCCATGGTCTGTCCCGTGATTGGTTCCATTATTGATCCTGTGGTCAATCCCGTGCCTGGTTCTGTTATTGATCCCATGGTCCATCCCGTGATTGGTTCCGTTATTGATCCCGTGCTCCATCCCGTGATTGGTTCCATTATTGATCCCGTGATCAATCCTGTGCCCGGTCCCGTCATTGATCCCGTGATCGATCCCATGATTGGCTCCGTTATTGATCCCGTGATCGATCCCGTGCCCGGTTCCGTTATTGATCCCGTGGTCCATCCCATGCCCGGTTCTATTATTGATCCCATAATCGATCCCATGCCAAGTTCTGTTATCGATCCTGTGGTCCATCCCGTGCCCGGTTCTGTTATTGATCCTGTGATCGATCCTGTGCCCGGTTCCGTTATTGATCCCGTGGTCCATCCTGTGCCCGGTTCCGTTATTGATCCTGTGGTCCATCCCATGCCAAGTTCCATTATTGATCCCGTGGTCCATCTCGTGCCCGGTTCCGTTATTCTTCCCGTGCTCCATCCCGTAATTGGTTCCGTTATTGATCCTGTGGTCCATCCCGTGATTGGTTCCGTTGTTGATCCTGTGGTCCATCCCGTGCCCGGTTCCGTTATTGATCCTGTGGTCCATCCCGTGCCCGGTTCCGTTATTGATCCCGTGCTCCATCCCGTGCCCGGTTCCATTACTGATCCCGTGCTCCATCCCGTGATTGGTTCCGTTATTGATCCTGTGGTCCATCCCGTGCCCGGTTCCGTTATTGATCCCGTGCTCCATCCCGTGCCCGGTTCCGTTACTGATCCCGTGCTCCATCCCGTGCCCCGTTCCCGCTCCCGGGCCCGCACGGTTCTCGCGCGCTCTCTGCCGGGGGCGAGCGGGCGGTGCACAGGCTCCCCGGCGCTTTCTGCGCATGCGCCCTACGGAAGTCCCGTCTTTCCCCAGCGGGGCGTGGCGTGGCTCCGGCCGCCGTTTGCGCGTGCGCGCTGTGTCACGTGGAGCAGCGGGCTGGCTAAAGGCGGGCGCGGGGCGGGGCGCGCTCACAGCCATGGCGCGCGGCAGCAGGAGCGTGTCCCGGCCCGCCGCGGCCCCGGCGCCCGCCAGGTACCGGCCCCGGCTGGGCTCGGCGGGCACACCGCGGCACGCGCCCTGTGCCGCCCGCCATGACTCCCTTCTCTCCGCAGCCCGGCCCCAGCGGCCCCGGCGCCCGTGGCGCAGCCGGCGCAGCCCGGGCTGATGGCGCAGATGGCGAGCACGGCGGCCGGCGTGGCCGTGGGTTCCGCCGTGGGACACGTCGTGGGCAGCGCCATCACCGGCGTCTTCAGCGGTGGCTCCTCCGAGCCCGCCAAGGCGGCGGCGCCCGCCCAGGTGCGAGCGGAGCCGGGCTGTGCCCTTGGGCCGCCCTTGGGCGGGGGGCGGCGGGAGCGGGGCCGGGCGGGACGGACGGACGGACGGACGGGCAGCCGTACCCGCTCGAGGGGACGGGAGCGCGCTGGAAGAGGCGCCGCTGCCCCCGGGCGCCCTGACCGGGCCCGTGGCCGCAGGAGCCCCGGGCCGTGCTGCAGCAGTCGCCGTACGGACCGTGCCACTATGAGATGAAGCAGTTCCTGGAGTGCGCCACCAACCAGAGAGACCTGACGCTGTGCGAGGGCTTCAACGAGGCGCTGAAGCAGTGCAAGTACAGCAACGGTGAGCGCAGGAGGGAGCTGCTGCCAGCGCAGCACCCCCGAGGCCTTGAAGCTTGCAGAAGCGGTCTTCTGGGGGTATAGCGCCCTTTTGGGCTTTAGTAGGAAGCAGTTGTGTCTTTCCCGTGTCCTAAAGAGAAAAAGGCAGCTGGAAAGGGAAGGAGAAATGATTTTGGCTATGTCTCTGTGAAGGTTGGGAGGCTGTGTAGGTACCCTCTGAGTCATGGGCAGCGTGCTGCTCTCCCTGGCTGACTCTCTCATTCCTGCTGCATTTGGTACAAGCTGTTGTCAGTGGTTAGGTTATGATCTGGTTACACTGGGTGAGTGCTTTTGCTCCAGCTGCTGGATCACGTTCGTAATGCTGACCTTCTGCTTCTTCCCTGTAGGTGTTTCTTCTCTCCTGTGAAGAATTTGCCCCCTTGCAGGGAAGAGGATCGTGGTGTAGAGCCCTGCTCTCCACAGGGAGTGGAAGGACAGACAGGGAGTGAGCTGGAGGGAGCAGACTGACCAGACACAGGAGTATTCTAGTGGTAATTCACTTCTGAACTAGTAGGGAAGGAAAGGAATGATTGGACCCAAGGGTCTTCAGTGTTCAGATAGCACTGTATTTATTACAGAGAAATAAAAGAATTTATTTAGACCTATCACCTGTGCACATTCTTTATTTAATTCTCAAGCTAAGATCAAGCTACCAAAGCATTAACATTGTCAGCCACAGGACAAGGCACAAGTTTGTACTTCCTGCAAACAGGGGTGCAGCCTAGCAGGGACTGGGCCTGCATGACTTGGCAGAAGGGGATCCAGACACTGGCTGCCCTCCAGGCAGAGGAGAGGCTGCAGTGAGGTAAGCCAACATGTGTCCCATGGTATTTTCAGTGACAAATTACTTTTCTATAGATATCCTCTTCCTGAGTCCCTGTCCTGCCCTCAGAGCTGAGAGTGTGACCTGTCTGGCTGTGGGACTTGGGTACAGTTGGCTGATCTGACTTTGAAGCTTTAGCAGGTTATGCAATGTTCTCAAGGTCACTGGCATCAGAGGAAGTTTGGAGCTGCTTTCCTCTTCCAGTCACCTTGGCAGCTCAGCCTCGTGATTGCTGCCCGTGGACTGGCCTCTAGCAGGACACCGTGTTCCTCACGCTGGTCTAAAAGGGAATTCTGAGGTTTCAGCTGGAGTTTTAATGGCACAGCAGTGAAGCCAGGACACTTTCAGGTGCTTAACTGAGGCATTTTTCATGGCAGAATGAGTCTTTTAACCTTTTGATCTCTGAGTGTTGAATAAAGGGCGAGTTCTCAGCCCCTTGCTGGGATCTGTGAGGAAATCCAAGTCTAGATGGTAAATGCTGTCAGCAGATACTGGAGGCTGATGTTGAAAATCCTGCCCCTTCTAAATGTCAGAGTCTTAAGTTCTTGGTAGAGATGTCCTGAGCTGTGCCTGGCCTTATCAGGGGTGTCTTGTGGTCTCCTTAGACAGCCAAGGGAAAAACTAGATGCCAGAGATTAAAAGCTGAAGTGCTCTGTGTGCTGAGCTGTCCTGTGTGAGCAGGGAGGAACCACTCCAAAGCGGTTCAACTCCCTTTGAGAAACAAGGGTATTAGGCTGTTGGTGAGTTGCTCTGGGTGGAGAAGCTGTTAAGGAGAAGCAGCAGCAGGTGTCTTCTGCCTTTCACCCATCTTGGCAGTGCTGCTTCTGCAGCTCTGTGGCCTGGCTGTCTCTGGAGCAGCTTTTCCTGGTGATTGCAGTGGGCAGTCCCTGCAGGGCCACCCCAGAGCTGCAGTGGGAAGCAGGCCCAGCCAGTGACAGGAGTGCAGGTGCAGGCCATGCCAGGGAACACGAGAGCCCTGAAGCAGGAGGATGGTGCCTGTGCCTGGCTGTGATGCTGGGATTGTCAGGGTGCAGCCTGGGATGTGCTAGTGAGGCTCTGGGGGGGCAGGGGGTCCCAGGGAGAGGGGCTCAGTAGCAGGGGACTCTTGCTGTGCTGGAATGAGAACCTGGGCAGGTGTTTGGGCCCTGGTGGAGGCTGTGCTGCCTGGTGACCAGCAATGGGTCTGTTCCTCACTTAGGGGTGCTCTTGTGTTCCAAGCTCCTCTTGCTCTGTGAGGTGGTCCTGTTCCTGCCTCGGGTGCTGGTGTGAGGCTGAGCCCTCTGCAAGCAGCCCTTCTTCCTCTGCTCTGTCCTCTGAGTCTTCTCTGAGAGCTGCTGCAGCCGATCTGTGGAGTGACCAAGCCCCTCCAGAGTCGTGTTTTCCTGCTGTGTTGGTCAGTTGCCCATTATATGTTGGGCAAGGCACTGCCAACCTGTGAGACTACAGCCTAGGAGAAACACTTGAGGGTCTCCCAATTTCTCCTGATGTCCTTCCCCCCCCCCCCCCCCCCCCCATTTGTTCCAAGGAGATGTCCCTCTTTGCCAGGGGGACAAGCTGGGCAGGGCTCTGCCTGGTGTGGGGTGTCACTCTAAACTGGGAGTGATCCTGCACAGCAGCCCTGCTTGTCCCCTCCCTTGGTGCCTGAATGCACTCATTGCCCCCAAGAGCCCTGAAGGAGCACAGGGGGATCAGAGGAGAGTCCCACAGGACTGTATGAGGGCTGAGGTGGAACAGGAGTCATGCCTGCACCCCTGACTCCTCTGTGGAGGTGAGGTGGGTGCCTGGCTCTTACCTGGGAGGTCAGGGTAGTGTTTCCCCAGGTCCTCAAGCAAGGATTCATAGCAGATGGCTTCAGAGTTTTCTTGTCCTGGCAGCAGAATGGGAGAAATGGATTAGTCTCTCTCCTGGCTGTAAACTGAAGGCTTGCAACTGGGGCAGGTGGTTCTGCCCAGGAGAAGATCTTTCTCCCTTGGACAAACAAAGGCTCAGCTCTAGCTGTTCATCTGAGTTGGCTTCTGCCTCCTCAGAGCTTCTGTGCTGTGTCCAAGTGGCTGCTGAGCAGAGCCCTCCCCAGAGCTGCCCCCAGAGCAGACCCTTCCTGCCCCGGGGCTGTCTGCACAGGGAACTCACGGGCAGCTCTGACGAGGATGTAGCGCTGCCTTCCCTGCAGGTATTTACTGGCATAGTCAGATGCAGGATCTTCCACTTTGCTCAGGTTCATCAGGGTGCCTTTTTCATCCACAAGATCGATGCAGTCTGGAGAGAGAGATGTGGTGAAGAAAGGCCAGACTGTCCCTGTGGGGCCAACATGAGCCTGAGGGGTTTAGAGGCGTTTTCCTTGGCAAGTTACACTTAGAACAGAATCTGCTGACATCTGGGGAGTGGGAGGTTTGCTGACCCTTTCCCTGTGCTTTGGGATGTTCTGTGATTCCCATGTGACCCATTTGTTACCCTGTGTTGTTCCTCTAAGGGTGAGTGGCAGTCCCTTGATGACCACAGCCCAGAGCACTCGTACCTTCAGGCCTGCACTGACACTTCCACTTCAGGTGGCCTGTGAGGGTCTGGACAGAGCAGAGCAGGTTCACCATCTCTTGGCAGTTGGCTGCAAACAGGGAATGAGATCTGAGACAGGAGCGTGGTCACCCCAAACCCAGGGACCACATGGGCATGGCAGGAGGCACAGCAGGTGGCTCAGAGGTGCCCACTGTGGCCAGCAAAGGCAGGACCCCTGTGGCATCAGCAGGGCCTCGAGTAGCTGCATTTCAGCCATGGCTGCTGGTAGAGGGTGCTGAGAGGTGCCCCAGGGTCCAGGGGAGAAGATGAGCACTTCATTTGGGGAAAATGATTCTGATTGATAAAGTGTCTCTATCCTTCAATTTGTTTCATCAAGCATGAGTATGAAAAAGCAGTGAGCCCTTGTCCTTGCCAGTGCCCTCCTACGAGCTGGTCCCAGTCACAAGGGGCAAGAGCTGGAGGTTGTGGCTGAGTCACCCGGGGATATTTTGGCCATGAACTATGACTGAGTTTGGCACAATTGAGAAATCCCCCAGGGCTGACACACGTCAGTAGTCAGAGCTGGGGATCCAATTCAAATAGCAGAGGGAGCAAAGGCTTAGGACTGTGTGTGTCTGATGGCTTCAGCCATGAGTGTCTGGGGTAAGGCCAAGGCTTTCAGCCAACTGGGTAAGGTCAGGATAGGGGCTGCTCATTCCTTCCCACAAATTCCTGCTCTCTGAAACTGGGAGCCAGGATTTCAGTCAGGGAGCCCTTCCTACACAGCCCAGAACAGAGGAGCTCTGCTAGCAGCTGGCACTTGTGCCCCGTGGCTCTTCTCGTTGTGTCTAGATAAGCAGGGCCCCCTCCGGTGGTTTCCCAGAGTTGCCAGGCTGGAAACTTATCCTCACCTCCAGCCTCCCTCCCTGTGCTTAACTCAGCTCTGCTGGAGTGGTTTCCCTCTGTGATTTGGAGTGTAGGGTAACAGATCTCCCTTTTCTAAAAGCAGTGGAGGTGCAGGATGCTGCTGTGCCTGGCAGAGCTCTCCTGCCTGTTCCCTCAGCACATTGCTGTGCACCAGGTGCTGCGTCCCTCCCTGCCCCTTGTGGGGGTGACGAGGGTGGCCCAGGTGTCCGGGTGTCCGGCTACCCCCACCTACCTCCGAATCTCACGGTGGCGAACATGGTGCTGCCGTGCCCCTGGCAGGGCTGTGGGGCCGGGTCCCGTCCTGCAGGCAGCGCTGGGAGCTGCTGGAGAGCCCCGGGCACACGGGCTGCATCCCCACTGACGCTGTTGTGGTTTCAGTAGCCAGATTGCCCAGCAACAGCGAACGGCCCCTGCAGATTCTCGAGCCTCCTGCGGGGGGAGAAGGGAGGCAGAGCAAGGGCTGAGCTAAACAACAGCCTCTTGGGGAGGCTGCCTGCTCCATGTGGTCCCAGATCCTCTGAATTTACGACTTTTTGTAGTCTCGTGCTATTTCCTGCCCCCCCTGCCATTTGTCCTGCAGCTCATCTGGGCTGTGGTGGTGCCACATCTGTTCACCCTGCTCCTAACTGAGCCCAGCACTGCTGCAAGGCCAGCCCGGCTTCCTCTGTGACATGGCTGGATGCCACTGGAAAAATCCCCCCGAGGACCCTGCCTGTGCTGCTCCTACTCTGGAGCAGGAGGCACTGGGGTTTTGCAGCCCCGTGGTGGACACGGTCATGTGCTGGCTGCATCTTCTGTTTGGTGCCCAAATGTTGCTGTGCAAGTGTTCCTGCAGTCAGGGCCCTGTAGCATCATCCCCTTTTCCTGAGGAAAACATGAGTGAAATCATGTCCCTGGGCTGCTCAGCAGATGGGGAGGCTGAAATGGTGGGAACCAGTAACAACACTGATGTGCTGCATTATCCAGTGGGGATAATGTCACTGCTCTGAGGACAAATTCCCTTTCTCTGCATCAGGGAGGTGATTTCCCTCTGTCTAGCCAGGTTTCATTTCACAGTCAGTCTAATCCCTGGACTTGACCTGCTCAGCACTTGGGACAAGGTGTGTGTGTGACACTCCTCCCTTGGGACACGTGCAGGAGACTTGTGTTCATCTTGCCACCACTTGGCAGAATGTGGGGAGTGCTGGTGGGCAGAAAGGGAGCTGTACCTGCAGGGTGCTCCTACCTGCCAGAGCTCATGAAACACAAACTGCTGACATCTGCAGGGACAAACCCTGGGGCCTTGAGGCCTTGGGGCTCTGTGGGAGCTGCAGAGGGAGGGAGTGGCTGTCCCTGGGTGGTGATGAGGTGACACTGGCAGGGGCTGAGCCTGCCTGTGGAGGGCAGGAGGTGCCCAGCGGCTCTGGCACATGAGAAGTGCCCCCTGCCCTCACCGTGGGGACAGGCTGGGCTGGTGGCCGTGTGACGCAGTGGCCCCGTGACAGGTGTCACAGGCAGGAGTGGCTTCACGCTGGCTGAGCTGGTGGCCGTTGGCTGTAACAGTCTGCTGTCCTTCCGCACCAGCTGTGCTGCAGCCACCTCTGCCCCGCTCCCTGGGGACACACACCTCCTGCCCGCTGGCCTCAGCAGCCACCCAACACAGCTGCTGCTCCTGAGGTGGCCCTGGCCAAGAGGCAGCACCCTCAGCAGCTCCCAGCCCCTGCTTCAAGTTATGCTGAGACCCTGCCCAGTCATTCCTGTCACCGTCATGGAGCTGCAGGAAGGGAGCAGCAGCTTTCCTTCTGTTGTTTCTGTGATGGGACAGCTGCCTCCCATCGCCCGTTCTCCCTGGTGGCCCCCGGCCTGCTGCCTCCCCAGGGCATCCTTGGCACGGTGTGGCTCAGGCTCCTGGCCTCCTGCATGCCTGGCAGCAGAGGGCCTGAGTGTGAGAGCGCAGGGAAACCTCTCTGCTCCTCCCAGCAGCCAAGAGAGATGGTCAGCGATGCCACCCCAGTGCCCAGGGCACGGGGTGGTGGGGTGAGCTGTGGGTGTGCTGGTGCAGCTGAAGGAAAAGGGCTGAGGTGAGGGTGGGTGGCTGTCACCCCCTCCTGAAGCCCAGCTGCAGAAGAGCGAGCAGCCCCGGGGAGCTGAGTCCCTGAGCCCCCCGTGTCATTTACATACACCCCGCCAGTGGCCACGGCACAGCAGCCGGGCTTTGTGCAGCACCCCAGAGCTGCTCTGGAACAGCCTCCCTTCCTCTGCCTCCTGCCATGGCCCTGGGATTCACAGTCCTGCTCCTGCTGGGGACGCTGGGCACAGGTAAGGGTGCTGCGGCAGAATCAGCTCTGCCTGGGGGCACTGCAGGGTGGAGGGCAGGCTGGGCTCTCCAGGGGGGTTGGTTTGAGTAGGGCGTTTTGCTCCGGGGCTTGTGATGGGATGAGCAGGGTGGTGGTTGGGAAATGGCGTTGCCTCATTTTGGGGGCTGAGGGTGATGGGGGACACATCCCAGCCCATCACTAACTGCATCCCTGGCGCGTGCAGCTGGCAGGGCGCAGCCCGTGCTGAGCCAGCCGCGCTCCGTGTTCGTGCAGCCCGGGCAGAGCGCTCGGCTCTTCTGCACCCTGAGCCCGCAGTACAACATCAGCCACTTCGGCATCTCCTGGTACCAGCAGCGCCCAGGGCACTCCCTCAGGTATCTGCTCTACTACAACTCCGAGCGGGACAAGCACAAGCCTGCCAAGACTCCCGAGCGCTTCTCGGCCAGCAAAGACCTCGCCAGCAACGCCTGCATCCTCACCATCGCCGCCGCCTGCCAGGACGACAACGGCACCTACTACTGCGCCCTGTCCCCTGCCCTCAGGTGGCTCTAGAGAGGCTCCTGAAGCTTTCCGTGCTTCCCCTGGCCACCCTCTCTCAGCAGGGAGAGCAGCAGCCCTGGGAGGGATGGGAAAAATCCATCTTTGCATGCTTGAGCAGCCCCGGCAGCGCTGCCTCGTGCTGGGCAGTGCAGCAAACTCCTCTTTGTCCCTCACGGGGCATCAGACAGGCGGGCACGGGCACAGAGCAGCCGCCTGCTGCAGCGGGGGGATGAGGGCTCAGCTGTCCTGGGCTCTTCCAGCACCTGGCACGAGGCAGCCTCGACCCGGCTGGGGCTTCCGCAGAGTTTAAATAAAGGTGATAAAGGTGATAAAGGCTGATCCTCACCCCGCGGCTCGTGTGGTGTCCCCGGGCCAGGAGGGCGGGCAGGAGCGGCTGCGGGCCGGGAGGGGTCCCTGGGCCGGGGGGAGCCCTCACCCACCCCTGGAGCAGCCCCTGCTCCCACAGCACAGCTCCCGAGGGGACAGGGACACGCGTGCCCCCGCGGGGACTCTGTGGGGACGTTTTCTCAGAGAAGATGAGAGGTTTTCCCACCGAATTGGGGAAAATGCCGGGAAGGGGGCACTGCGCATGCTCAGCTCGGCGGCGGCATTTAGGCCCCAAAGGCGGGCTCTGCTGCCACGTGAGGCGCGGCCGGCGCTACCATTGGCTCGGGGAAAGACAAAACCAGGCGCGTCACTGCTGTGGGGACGTTTTCTCAGAGAAGTTGAAAGGTTTTCCCACAGAACCAGGGAAAATGCCCGGAAGGAGGCACTGCGCATGCTCAGCTCGGCGTGCGCACGGCGGCAGCTTTTAAGCCCCAAAGGCGGGCCCTGCTGCCACGTGAGGAGCGGCCGGCGCTACCATTGGCTCGGGGAAAGACAAAACCAGGCGCGTCACTTCCGGAACACCTCAGTGCGCGTCAGGGCCCCGTGGTGTTCGGAGCGGGCTCCTGCCCTGCTCTTGTGCTCAGCATGTGCGAAAAGCCCCGCTATGAAAAGTCCACAAAGGAGACAGAGGAGTCCTGCAACTTTATTCGAATAAAGGGAGAGAGTCCACTATGCCATACCACCGTGGGGTCTCTGTCGAGATTTCGGAGGACGTGGCCTCCTTATTCCTAAACTCCCGGCCGCAGGTTGCCGTCTTCCTTACCCCGCTGGCTGAGCTACGGTGGCAGGAGGTGGGCACTGGATTGTGTAAAGCAAGCATGGGATAATGAATTCTTGTCTTCTTAACTGAGTCCTGTTTAATATGTTTGTCAAAGGGGAAGATCAGCTCGAATTTGGTGCAAGGGGGTTCCAAGGGCTAAAAGGAAGCTGCAGTTTGCTGCCTGAGATGCAGATGTAAAACATTTCAGGATCTGCCTGAGAGCTGGAACAGCTGGCAGAGCCATCGTGCCTCCTGCACGGGAGCAGTGTGGAAAGGCACAGGCAGCTCTGGGAAAGGTGCTGTGGAGAGCTCAGCTCCACCCTCTGGGCTCCTGCACAACCAGGAGTGAGTTTGAAATACCAAGGCCTGAACAAGTTCAAGCAAACAAATCTTCCCTGCTCCCTGTCAGCAAGTGGACAGCAGAGAGCTGCTCACAGAACTGGACTCCTCTTTGAGGAAACTGCTGCAGAGTAACAAGGAAAGTGTTTAGAGACAATAAACATCCCATCCTGGGTAGATCCCTGCTCTTCTCTTGTGCTGTGGGACTGTGGCAGAACAACTCCATTGGAGTTCTGAATGGTTAAACTCACTAAGAGGAACATAAGTACTATAGTGACAAATCCCAATACAATTCCTTTAGACTAAGGAGGGAAAAAAAACCCCTACCAACTTTAGCCAGGATCTAAAATATTCCTTCTAGCTGACACAGCAAAGCAGGGACTGAAAGGCATCCACAACTAGCTATGCAAAGCATCCGTACTTTCAGCCAGTGACCCATATAAAATGAATAAATAATTCATAATTACATATGTAGTGTACACCATGCATGTCAAGAAGGGTTCCAGAGAGAGAAGCACAGCAGGCATGCTTTGCCCTCTGAAAGGAAAAGTCCTCCAGTTACTGCTGTCACTCTGGAAGGTCTCTGGACTGCAGAGACACAACTGGACCTCCATTTACAGCTGCAAAGCCACGTTAGATATTCTCCCATGATGTTCTATAGCCTGGATTGACTCCATGATTCCTGAAATTCAGAGGAAGTATTCAACTAATGCACTGCACAGTAGCACAGTACCAGCACTCCAAAGCAGGTGCACAATAAGCTGAAGAAAGCAGGATCCAGTCCCAGAAGTTCCTTACTTCCTCTCTTCACCTCAGGGTTTGCCCCCACATACAAGGCAAGCTTTTTACACGGAGGCTTTGGTAAAGCAACAGCTGCTGTCTTGTCCTTTTGGGTTCAAGGCTCCAGTTCCTTCCTCCTGCTGCTCAGATGTGCAGCCCTCAAACAGGCAGGAGCTCTGGGGGGTACTCCCCATAGCAGTATTTGGCAATGGGGTCTCTGTAGGTGTTCTCATGCTGCACGCTCTGCCAGGAAAGGAGGAGAAGCTTTAACAAGAGACACACAGTGAAACAAGGCATCCCTTCACTGAGGGACAAAACCCACAGTGTTTATGCACAGGCAAAAAAAAAAATCCCAAATTCTTCTACACATCAGAGTGTCTTTGGATCAAAGAACTCTGCATTGCCAGCACACAAGAGCCAGCTGATGCATTACAGCACTGCAATGTTGAACCAGAACCTCCTTTTCAAGAGAGTACCCAAGTAGGTGGGAAAAGATTTCATTAAAAAAAAAAATAGATCTGTTCAGGCAGTATCATCATCAAATGTTCTAAGCATGCAGAGCACAATAAAGTTGCAACTTGAGACATGTGCATTTTTCTGGACAAAAGGCAGAGTTCAAATTTTATGGGGAAAAAATCCCAGTAACTTTGGAGACATTTGGAACTCTATCCTTTGTCTGCAGTTCATTCCCATTGCTACCTGAAATACTGAAGCTGCAGGACATGGCCAAAAGCACTTTCTAAAAGAGCCACTGCTTGCTTAGAGCAAGACTTCTAACAAAATCACATGGCTAACAGAAGTTCACCTCTGTCCTTAACAAGCAGAGAAATTACAACACAGTTTTCGAGTTACCATGCAGGTGATTGTCAGCACATGGTGAGTCTCCAGCTGTACCAAAAATAAAGAGCATTCTGAGGCTACTGAACAGCTTGAACAGCTCTCACTGTCTTCATCCTAATGAGATCTTCCCCAGAACTCATCTCAGATCTCCACTGGTCACTGAACTCAGTCTCTTTTTAGTTAAGCCCCTCTTTTCTACAGAGAATGTGCAACTCATCCTGCTCTAAATGCGTGCTTTGCCTTCAGACTGGCTCTCAGCCATAGCTTGAGCTTTTGTGAAAATACAAACGCAATGCACCAGCCATTCACAGCATTGAGCCCCATTTCCCAAGGGCAGTTTTTGGGCCCTGGCCATGTGCTGGTGCCTCACCTGTGATGAAGTCCTACACTTGGCCAGACACAGCTCGAAGTGATCTTCCACTGCCATGAAGAGGTTCTGGAATGCAATCGCTGCCCGGTTCAAGAACCGCTCCAGGAGGTGTTGCTGAAGTGGTCAGCAAAGAGAAGGCAAAAAATCAGAAACACTCTGCTTCAGCAAGGAGTAATCAAAGCCCACCCCAACCTACAGAGCTCAGGTATCAGAGGAATAGTAAGCAACTCCACTTAGGATTTCTAGGAAGCACTGAAAGGGTAATGCCTCAGAACCCCAGCAGCAGGACAAGAATCGAAGAGAAGCTCACAGAATATGGGGAAATGCCAATTACAAAACTAATAGTGACTGCAGTAACTCTTCTCCAACCCTTCAGCAAATGCAACTCAACTGAAGCTGAAACACTTTTCAAGGCTCCCAGTATTTCCTCCCAAAGGTGGGAAGGATTAGTTTTGTTAAAGTTTTCTTTATAGCTTGCCATATGCTCCTTGGAGGCTTTCCTCATCATTCCAAGAAAAGGAACTGTCCCTCTAAGGGAAAAGCTCCTCACAAAGAAGCACTTTTAGCCACAGAGGGGCCCCAGCAGCTGAGAACACCTGGAAAGCAGGGGGAAGTCCATCACCTTGCTGGGCTGCAGGCAGCAGGACACGCAGAACTCGTAGACGCTGCAGCAGCCGTTGGGCAGGCAGCTGTCACAGCTGTGCAGCTTGGTGCTGGGCACGTGCACATCGCAGCAGCCGTTCACCAGCAGGTCCTTCCTCTCACAGATGTAGCCTGGAAAACAGCAACGGGCGTGACAAGTGGCAAGGCACACCCCTCTGTATGTTCTGTGGAAATCGCGGTGAGGATCACGTTCCTTAAGAACAGGTTTGTTTGTCATTTAGTAGGTTATGATCCCCCTCAGTCCTGTGCAGCCTTTCTTTGAAATGGAGGACCTGCCGTTCACCAGCAGGTCCTTCCTCTCACAGATGTAGCCTGGAAAACAGCAACGGGCGTGACAAGTGGCAAGGCACACCCCTCTGTATGTTCTGTGGAAATCGCGGTGAGGATCACGTTCCTTAAGAACAGGTTTGTTTGTCATTTAGTAGGTTATGATCCCCCTCAGTCCTGTGCAGCCTTTCTTTGAAATGGAGAGCAGCGTTTCAAACAGCCTGGTGTTACCTGCACAGCTATCACATCCTGCTCTAATACGTGCTCTATATGCACCATGAGTATTTAAATGCAGATTATTTAACTTCTGAGTAATTTTGGGCACAGTTCCTTGTGAAAGGGGGAATGGGCTGGCATTGACTATACTGGAAAAAAAAACCACGACACACGATTTTGCAATGGGTCTGTCTCTGGATAATTCTCTTACAGTTCAGTATGAAGAGACTTAGATTTAACCATGCAGGTCAGTGTAATATTCATTGCTGGGTGGAATCCTTAACAGTATGGAAATGTGGTGTATATCCTTATGGAAATGGTACTACCACAGTGTTAGACTGTGAAAGATCTGTAATTTTTAGAGATCTTATGAACTGCCACTAACCGTAAGGCAGTGCCAAATTTAACATTGATGCAAATCACAGAAGATATGGTGGGTTGTCTACAGCCTTGATTTGTGGCCAAGAAAGATCCAGGTCTAAGCAACAAGCACAGCCTAGGGCAGGAAAGGGTCTTTAATTTCTACCATTTAAAAGAAGTGGTTAATAACCTTGGGTTTACAAGGGTCAGATAAGCTCGTTAACTGTGACTGAGCACTAATTACACCAGCCCTGAGCTGCCTCCATTCAAGGCCAAGGTTTCCTCAGATGCTCTCCCTAACCCCCTGACAGCAGGAGCATGCTGCAGGGAGACCCAAAGAGCTCTGC